GAGAGAGAGAGAGAGAGAGAGAGAGAGAGAGAGAGAGAGAGAGAGAGAGAGAGAGAGAGAGAGAGAGAGAATCGGGGAGGATGAGGCAAATAAGAGCATTGATAATAGGGGCGGGCATGGGAGGATGCGCGTTGTCACTGGCATTGAGGAAGCTGAACGAGCAAGCACGGAGGACAGGCGTTCTGTTCTCGAGCACCATCTTCGAGCAGGCGCCTGTCATCAAGCCAGTGGGCGCCGGGATCGCGTTAGGACCGAACGGTCTGAGCATACTCGAGAGTCTGGGTCTGTATCCGAAGCTACAGGCCTTCGGAGGGGAGGTACATTCGCTCCAAGTGTATAAAGACGATGGGCAGAGGTTGCGCGGATTCGATCTGTCGTTCATCGCACGTAAGCACGGGTACCCGCTGCTGGTTCTGGAGAGGGCGGAGCTACAGGCTTTGATGATCGACGAAATTTTGCACCCAACCCCGCGAGTGGGGGAGAAGCGCGCCGAGCCCGCTATACGACAAGAAGAGATCGTGTTGAACAAGAAATGTGTGGGAGTGGAAGATCTGGGACCGAAGTGCGGAGTGCGCGCGCATTTTGCAGATGGAACGACAGAGGAGGGAGATGTCCTCCTGGCGGCCGACGGGCTGAAATCGGTAATCAGAGAGCAGATCATCCTTCAAACAGACCTCAAATCGACGGCCAACAAGGGCCCGCCCCCCATCTGCTCCGCCGCCTTTCCCCGGTACTCTGGCATTTCCTGCGTCTTGGGCGTGACCGAGTCTGTGCCTGAGTCCATCCAGGGCAATGTGTACTGGATCTTCGGACCTGGTCGTGTTTACGGCACCTGGTCGATGGGCAAGCAGAAGCAGTATTGGTTCCTTGCAGAGCGGGAGACTTTTCTACCCGCGCCCAATGCGAATGTCGGCGGCGCCGCCGGCGGCGGAGGCTATGCTGGTGGCGGCGGCGGCGGCGCGTTCTATAGTGGAGGCGGCTCGGGCTTCAGTGGCGGCGGCTATGGCGGCAGTGACGGCTATAGTGGTGGCGGCGGGGGCGGGGGGGGCCGCGGGGGTTATAATGGCGGCGGTGACGGTGGCTATGGTAGCCTAGACGGCGCTTCTACTGGCGCCGGGGGGGCCCTTAGTGGCGGCGGCTATGGTGGCGGCGTAAGGGGTTATAGTGCTGGTGGTGGGGAGGGGGACTATAGTGGCTATGGTGGCGGCGGCTATGGTAGCAGGGAAGGCGGCTTTGGTGGCGGCGGCTATGGTGGCGGTGACGGCGGCTATGGCGGCGGTAGGGTAAGGGGGTATAGTGGTGGCGGCGGCGGAGGGGGAGGTGGGGTGTACAGCGGCGACGGCGGAGGCGGAGGGGGGGTGTACATTGGCGACGGCGGAGGAGGAGGGGGGGTGTACAGTGGCGGCGGGGGGGGGTATGGTGGCGGCGAATGTGATGGCTATGGTGGTGCGGTGAACAACAATACTAGTGCTGGAGGGCCGTCTTGGAGTCATGATGCAGCGCTGAAAGGGATGGATAGGATGTGGAATTGGTTTCATCCGTACGATCATCATGCGATGTTTAATCGGACGACGAGGATGGTCAAAATCGGTATGTTCGAGGCCCCATGGAAGGGTCCTTGGGGAAGAGGGAATGTAGCCTTGGTAGGTGACGCCGCGCATGCAATGCTGCCCACTCTCAATCAAGGAGCCAACATGGCGATCGAGGATGCGTGTGCCGTGGCCAGAGCTCTTGCCCATCAACCGACTGACGTGTCAGCTGCTCTGGGCAGATATCAAGAACTGCGCAAAAAGCGGGTCGGGAGATTAATGTGTCTGGCAAGAATGCTCGGCGCGCTGCAGACGACGAACAGTGATCTTGTGTCGAGAATGAATGAGACGGCTGTGAAATTCGCACCGCAAAGCATTTTTGAAAGGTCCATGGACTGGGTGATGAGATATAGGGACCCCCTTCGATGAGATATAGGGACCCCCTACATAGACTAATGGGGAGAATTTTTAGGAAAAAACAAAACGAATTATATCTTGGTAAATAATATAGTATAGTATTAATCGGGAAAAATAAAACGAATTATATTTTGCTAAATAGTATAGTATTAATCGGGAAAAAAAACGATGACGATTGATGATAATCTGTAGAAGTACATCATCAATGAATGAATGAATGGAAGCAACTACGCGGTGCAAGGTACCGATCCACCATCCTCTCTCTGCTTTGTTAATTGATTGGCGGATCGTTTTCCGTTTCTTCTCTTGCTTTCTTGATTGCTGATCGATATAATAGGTCCATTCTTTGATTGGTCGTCTGCAATTGATTGCTTGATTGCTTGATTGCTTGATTGCTTGGTTAATTACTTGCCTGAGCTCTTTGCTTCCTTGCTCGATTGATCGATTGATTGATTGATTGATTGATTGATTGATTGATTGATTAGTTGATTGATTGATTGATTGATTGATCCATTGATTAGTTGATCTATCGATCGGTCTTTTAATCGCGATGATCGATCTATTGATTGATTGACTGATTTGATTGGTAGATTAATCCGGGGAACAAGTTCAGATGTGTCTACTTGCCGCCGTCTTCGTTATCTAAGAGTTCCCCCCCCTTCCCCCCCCCACTCCTCCCACACACATAACGAATCAGCTGTTGATGGCAGTTGCCGCCATCTTCGTTATCGAGATTTTTTTTTCCTTTTTTTTTTAACGAATCTGCTGTTGATGAACACGCCGACGCAAGTCTCTACCGATCTGCAATCGTGCACCAAGAGTCGTACTTCGACTCTGTGTACTGCTCTTGACTTCACACGTCCTCACGTGTGTACTTGCACTCGCGCGTATGATCAGAGTTTGTGTTGACGACGTCAACAATTAGGAAGTGTTGACGTCAGCAAGTAGGAACACGAGCGGGAGGGGATGGAGCCCCCCGCCTCCTCCTCTTGGAAAAGCCGCGTGAAGATGAATCTACCGCCTTCCGCCGAATAGAACGCACGGTCATAATAACTGTAATTATGTGGGATGGCATATCTAACGTCTTCCCCCGAGTAGAACGCATGGGTATGGTGAACTTTAGCTTACTTTCTTTAAAAAAAAAATAAAAAAAATCCTCCGAACTATTATTGCTCCCAACCAACCTATCCTTGAACCCACTCTCTAAAAACTCAAAAGGAATTGTCTCTCTGGCTGTCAGGGTTGCTGAATCCGGTGTGTGCGGCCTCCTGCGGGCTCTCATCCCTCCGTAATATCCAAATTMCCCCTMCCCCTACAACCTTTTTTTAGAGAAAACAAGTGGACCCGCCGCGGTGATGACGTGGCCCAACAGAGGGGATGGAGAAGACGACGGAGGAGAAGGCGAAGAGGGAGATGTAGTGGAAAGGAAAACATGGAAAGAGGAAGAGGAGCTTCGAGGGCATGGAAAGGGAAACAAACATGATACACCCGCGGCACACTTCTTTCTGCCCCCAATCTTAAAAAAAAAAAAAAAAAAAAAACCGGTCGACGTCTGCCCCTCCTCCCGTTCCTCCTCGTACTCGGCCCCCCCTCCTCCCGTTCCTCCTCGTACTCTGCCGCTCCTCCTCCCTTCCCTACTCGTACTCGTTTTGCTCCCGCTCCTCCTCCCACCCGTGGTCTTCCCCCTCCTCGTCGCGCTCCTCCCTTCCCTCCGCGTACTCGTTTGCTCCCGCTCTTCCTCCCAACCGTCGTCTTCCTCCTCATCGCGCTCCTCCTCCTGCCACTCCTCCCGTTCGTAGTCCCCCTTCTCCTGCTCATCGTCTTCCCCCACCCCCCTTCTTCCATTCGTCCACTAGGTTCGTCGTACTCCCCCTCCTTCCCCCCCTCCTTCCTCCCGCCTCCCCTCGCCATCCCGGCCCTACTCGTAGCTCCTCCTGTTCTCGCCGTCCACCTCCTCCCACTCGTCGTCTTCCCCCAGGGCCGCCTCCTCCCACTCCTCCTCCCACTCGCCGTCTTCCCCCAGGGCCTCCTCCTCCCACTCCTCCCACTCGTCTTTCCCCAGGGCCTCCTCCTCCCACTCCTCGTCTTCCCCCAGGGCCGCCTCCTCCCACTTCTCCTCCCACTCGTCGTCTTCCCCCAGGGCCTCCTCCTTGCACTCCTTTGCGTTCTGTTCTGATCGCCCTCCTCCCCATCCTCGTCTGTCGTCATCCGGACCTCCTCCTCCCACTCCTCCTCCCACTCGTCCTCCCACACAAAATGGTATGGACCTTCCTCTGGAACATGGGGAGATACACGGCCAAATTTTGTGAGCTCAGAGTTTGCCTTCGTGTTCATCGTCCTGCCCATCCTCCTCATTCTCCTCCTCCCGCTCGGCATCCCGCCCCTTCCACAGCCATATTTACACGGGGGGCCTAGCCATCGCGTTCTCCTCCTCCTCCTCCTCCTCCTTCATCACGCGCTCCTCCTTTTCATCGCCCATCATGCACTTTTCCTGTTCGTCGCTCGTTATGGGCTCCTGTTCTCCCGTCCTCCGCCTTGCGCTCTCCTCCCACTCCTCGTGGGCAGAATGGCACGAATCTTCACCTGGAACAGGGTGAGATACACGCCCATATTTTGTTGTCTTTCCTGCGCGCCGTGAGCAGCAGGGCTGGCAGATGGCGAGACCTGCTAAAGAATGTATTTTTCCCTGCCCTACGTAGCAGAGTCTCATTTGCACATTTAGGCTTTGGACCCCACAGGACCGCGGAAAGGAAAACACGGCCTCGAATTCATTGATTGGGGTAATCAAACGATTGATTTCCAAAAAAACAAAAATAAATTATCGTAGGACTAATCACCCGAAAAAAAAAGGAAAAAAAAACAGAAAGGAAAAACATCGCCGCGAAACTGTTTCCACTAGCCGGGGTTTAGTTTACGTTTTTTGTATTTTCCAACCTGGTCACTCTACCTTGGTAGAGCCGTGAGATTTTCAGATCGGATGGCAAGGAGCCATGTATGTACACTCGAAACCAGAACAAAACCTCCAGAAGTGGGACATAAGCCCAGGGGCCTGGACCCACTAGCAAGGTATTCTACCACGCCGTTCAGGATTTCGATCACGTGTGGCATCGAGTGACTCAGTACGGCCGTCGAATAGATCGGATCTCGCCGGCCTCGTAGTTTCCGAGCGGGGACTGTAAAGATGCCCACCTCCCGTCCAATGAGATGCGTCGGAAAAAAAAACAAAACGAATTTGGACTAACTTGGACATGATAGCTCGTGGCCAACTTCATTAAAAAAACCGGGAAGCGGGCCGGGCGTCCCTCACATAGATGCTGCAGCCATCCCGGGCTAAGAAAGGCACTCCCGGCCAACCCTATCCTTAACCACAGCCATCTAGCTACCGAGACCCCAGCCCCCCCCGCCCATCGGTCCGAAGTTGCAAAAGGAACAAGAGTAGAAAGGCGGTCATCACCTAAAACAAAGAAAACTCAAAAACAAGCCCTATCCATCACTCAAACCCTATTTACTACTAACTTATCATCAAAGACGCACAAGACTCAAAAATTATCCAAAATTGCTCTAAGCATAGCCTATACTTGTTACCACCAAAAAACAATACTAACCAAGCACTTAACTACGCTTAACCTAATTCCACTAGAAAAAGTCGCAACCCAAGACAAACCCCAATTCAGCATTTTCACAAGGGAGCACACCGATTCCCATTACACAACCCCAACAACTTCTCCATCTACTCAAGAGGCTCAACAAATCCACAAAAGCCCAACAAAAACCACAAAAGCCCAACAAAAACACAAAAGCCCATCCTAAAAAGAGGAAGCAGCAATTTCCTTGCATCACCCACAATCTTCAGTCGAAACAGAAGGCCGACGATCCAACGAATTCAACATGAATCTCTATGTCGCGCACAACCTAAAATCGTGATCTGTAAAGGCAGTGGCGGACAGGTCACCCGTCGTTCACACAATCTGACAAACCGAGAACGACCCATATCACACAGCAAGGCAAACCAAACAGAATTGGACACGAAGTGCAGTTCCACTGCTCTGGGAACCGCAATCAGGGNTCAGGGACAGTGGCGGACAGGTCACCCGTCGTTCACACAATCAGACAAACCGAGAACGACCCATATCACACAGCAAGGCAAACCAAACAGAATTGCAGTTCCACTGCTCTGGGAACCGCAATCAGGGACGGTGGCTCAAAAAGGCAATCAGAAAAAAGCAGCGCAGAAGAAGGGAACCCGATATCCACTGGAAAACCCAATCCAACCCTATATATTTATAGCTAATCTAACCGGTGCGCCGGTCATAAGCAGAAGCCATAACTTCGTCGAAGATCCGAAGACTGGGAAGTCATGAGCAGCACCGCGTCCGAAGCAGGAGTATCAGCTAGAGTGAACAAACCGTGGTCAAGGCTTAAACCCTGTGTTAGCAATTCGCCAACAGCTTTGGGCAATACCAATCACAACAAACAGTCCACCATCTCTCCCGGAAGTCGACGCTTGTTGATGCACTCTCGTTGTTCGTCACCAGCTCCGCACTCGGATGAAATCGCATCCGCCTTCACAGCACAATCGTAGTAACTGTTGCGTATCTGCAATCAGCGGGCAGAGCCCCTGATCGGTTCATAATTCCGGTATGTACGGCGCGCAGATCCTGCCCGTTGACCGCCCCCACATCTCCCCCTTCCTCTCACAGTCAATCCAGGATTGCCAACAATCGTTGACCAAGACTGGCTATGGCAAGTGCATGGTAGTGCCCCCTCGAAGCGGCCTCCACCTCAGCGCCCTTACGCTCTATCACCCCACCGCCTCCGCCATACCCAACAGCAAGCTCTGGCTAAGCATAGCTTAATGACAGCTACCCCGTGCGATCCCCCGCTGCCTGCGCGCCGTGGTAACGACGCGCTAACGTAGCGTTACCGCTGCGTTAGCGCGCCTCTTTTTTTTTTTTTTTCACCACTCCCTTTCTCAGTGACCTGGTCGCTGCGTGCGAAGTCAGGATTTTATGGGCTCTAAAGGGGGGGGGTTGATTTCCAGACTTCGTTTTTTTTTTTTTTTGGCTCTGAGAAATAGACTTGAAATGTGAAATTCGAATATTGTGGTGCATCTGACAGGAACGCTTCCGCATCTGTCGGATGGCCTGCTAGGCATCATGAGATACATCGCGAGGAATGTATCCCAATACTCGTTACTTGTTCATCCTCGTGAATGTGTTCGTGAACACATTTTATTGCCACGGTACATCACTATGAAGACTTACGTGAAGGAGATCGTACCAACCCATGAATTGGGGTGCACAGCTGTTCTTCATAGTTTTCTGTCCTATTTCAATTCATTTTAAATCAGAAAAMGATCCATTCATGCAAATAAAAAATCACTTTGTATTTTCCAAAAAAACATAAAACTGTGTCACACGTCGTAGAATACTTCGCTAGTGGGTCCAGGCCCCAGGACCCCACAACCTGCAGCAAATGTCCAGGAAAAGGTGAAATAACCGTTTTCCCGGACCCCACAGACCGAAGATTGCGGCTTCGAAAAACATTAATTTGTGTTTTTACATAGTGGGGGGCCTGGAAAAGTTCCACTGGAGGAGATTACTCGCCGCAATTTTGTGACCACCATAGAGGGTAAGGCTTGGATCCCACAATCTGTAGTAGTGGTACTTCTGTGAAAACAAAGAAATCCGGCACGTTTCCGCGGTGAGCGGAGAGGGAAAATAATTCGGCTTTTTCTTCTCTGGGCCCACTTCGTGGCAGCACGGGAGAGAGTCGTGGCTGGTTTCGGGAATGAATTTCCAAAAGCTCCCGACCCCTCCCCCTCCCCCTCCCCCTGAAAGTAGGTGCCTCTGCAAAATTGGGTTTTCCCTTTTTTCTGTTGTGGGTTCGTGGTCGTTGGTCGTTGGCCGTTGGATGTCCGTAGATGGCGTTGGGATGGAGTGCATGTCGGCCAAATTTGTGGAGAAGTGCCTTCCCCGTCGGGGGCCTATGGGATCCAAATTCGTTTTTACGAACCGGTTGGCGCGGACTCGACTTTCAGGGTACTTTTCCGACTTTTTCTTCAAAAAGCACTGGGGGATCCAAGCCTAATAAGGGGGGGAGAGGGCATGTCCTTCCTGGAAAAGTCTCACGGGAGGCAGCAGCCAATAGCGAAGAAGAGTGCCACAAGAGAAAAAATAAAAACGAAGGAAAAAAGAACAAAACAAACGAGTGCCAACGGAGACAGCCAACGGTTGGCTCAACTGATTTCCAGAGGGTTTTCTAAGCGCTCCGTGCTGGGGTCCCCGCGAAACTGCTTTCCGGCTTTCCAAGATTCTCTGCCCGTTTCTTTTGGCCAGCCGCTTTTTCCATCCTTTTTTCCAGTGGGGTCCAAGCCTTAGGCAAGGGCCCCGCTGCCGTGCGGATGGAAAAGACCTGTGGCCACGAAAAGTGGGCAAGTCATTTTGGAAAGGACCCCATCGCAGAGGACCAAATGCGCTCATTTGGAAAACCCTTCGGAAATCAGGGCATCTCCACACCACTCTCGAAATTTGCAAATTTGCAAAATGGGAATGAACTTCCCGCTAGAACATGGCTAGATGCCCCCGGCACATTTTTGTCTTTTTCACATTTCGAGAGTGGTGTGGCGAGGCCCTCAGTTGAGCCAATCGTTGCCTGTTTGCACTGGCACTCGTTTGTTTTGTTCTTTTTTCCGTCTTTTTTTTTTTTTTTTTTTTTTTTTTTTCTGTGGCACTCTTCATCGCTATTGGCTGCTGCCTCCCGTGAGACTTTTCCAGGAACGACATGCCCTTCCCGCGTACTCGCTAGAGTCGGCACAAAATTTTGGCGGGAATCCTCCCGTGAGACTTTTCCAGGCCACGAACTATGTGAAAACACAAATTGATGTTTTTCCAAGCCGCAATCTTCGGTCTGTGGGGTCCTGGAAAAGGGTTTGCGGAAGAAATTTCACCTTTTCCAGGATGTTTGCGGCAGGCTGTGGGGTCCTGGAAACAGTTTGGCGGCCAAGTTTTTCCTTTCGGCGGTCCTGTGGGGTCCAACCCTTAGAGAGTACTGCGTGTTGGCTATAGGCAGTGGCCCTCCCGCGTCACCCAAAGAAAACAGAATGAATGAGGGCACACTCACACTGGTAGCAAAATTTCCAAAAATCGCAGATTCTGTGATAGTACCGGGTCACACAGCCAGCCTGCCTGGCAGCGGGGGTACACAATCTGGCGTCCACCTCAAGAGGTGAGCACAAACGCATTTTTGCTTTCCCAAGAGTTTACGGGAAAAAGAAGGTAAAAAAAAACGACACGGAAGGCACATGACCACGATGGCAGGCCCCATAGAAAAGGTCGACCATTGGTGTAATGACAAGGCACAGAATTTGGATGTACCTAGACTACAGCGACTGCCAACTTGAAGTGCCTGTGGGGAGCGACTATATCCCAGTTGTTTTTCTCATTCACACGTGCTGAATGGAAAAAAAAAGAAAAAATCAATCCCTCTTTGTGTGTGACTTGCACAATAACGCAAATTCTGACACACAGAAAGTTGTGACCATGTCCCATATGGCAGGGGCCGTTAGGTGTGACCAGCAGAAAACACAAATATCACAAAAGCCGTAGCAAATGTCACATTTTTTGGTGATATTTGCGTCCAGTGTGTACTCGTATTCGAACATTCAGGAACTTGAAAAACTGCGCCACAAATCAAACTGAGTAAAACTGTGGGCCCCTGGCCGTACCACAGCCCGACAGTTTCTGTTGGGCCCTGCGGTGGGCGGTGACTTGGGATCAACAAACAGAAAAAACCTGCTGCAGGCCAAACTGAGTAAAACTGCGGCCCCCTGGCCGTACCGCAGGCCAACAGTTTCTCTTCGGCCCGGTGGTGACTTGGGCCCACTATACTCCTTAGGAGTACAGGGAAAAAAAAAAAAAAAAAACTCCTTACGAGTACAGGGAACCCCCCCGGCTCCCCCCCCCTCACACCTT